GCACCACCGGGAACCCGGAAGTGCTCCAGGCAGCCGGACAACTCCAGCTGCTCTTCCCCCAGATTCCCCAAGTCAGCCGCTGGTCAGTTTCAGCAGCAGCTGAATCGAGGAAGCTGGGGGCAGAGCAGCTCCAATGGTCTGGCTGCCCGGAGCACTTCTGGGTTCCTGATGTGCCGGACCATCATGAGTGCCAGACCATCAGATGCCGGACAAATGGAGTTTTACTGTACTTCAATCTACCTGCTCTTATCTCATTAAAGGAGACGAAAAATTCTGTCAGTTCTTGAAAACACTGCAGTAAATGAAACAAAAACTACGTCCAGTGAAGGCACCCTTGATGCTTCAGTTGCCACCCTTTCACTGTAACAAGTTTTTAACACGTTCTTCTAAAAAAAGTTTCCATCGCATGCTGACACTGCACAGGCAAGCTAGCTGCAAAGGCCCTCAATCTCTTGAAGGCACATGTCAGCTGTGACTGACAGGTGTGTTAGCACAATGCCTCTGCAGTTTCCAGGGATACGCACTATTTCAGCCCTGTTTCTGTCATCTCGCTCTTGCTTATGAATAGTCCCTGGCAAAGGTGATGAATATGCTGGTTTCCTAGAACATATCTAGTAGGCAGCCACTGTAGCACTTCACCCAGAAGCAATACAAACCATGGGATAATCAGCTCACTGATGAAATCCTACCCCATGCCCACCAGTGGTTTCCCAGTCAATTTTAAGAACGCCACACTGGGTCAGTCCAAAGGTCCATCTAGCCCACTATCCTGTCTGCTGACAGCGACCAATACCTGGTGCCCCAGAGGTACTCAACAGAACAGGGAATTATCAAGTTATGCCACCCCTATTGCCCATTCCCAGCTTTTGACAAAGGCTAGGGACACTGCTCCTGCCTATGCTGGTTTAAACAGGACCTGGCAAGTGGCCACACTGTTTCGGCCACCTCCTCTATTTACCCCTCTTTCTCCCTTTCTCACGCTCTGTAATAGGAGTCAGCAGAAACCTCTACACAGCGTGGGCAGCCGCCGGCTGTAGCATGGTGGGGAGGGAGCAGGGCTCAGATCCCTCCGCCTCACTGACCTGCCCTGGGCAGGGGGATGATGAGCGCACCGGGCGCGGCTGCCCGGCGATGCACGAACTGAGCCGAGCGTCCCGTGCCCAGCGCGGGGTGCACACAATCGACCACGCCCCCACAACACACGCGCGCCCATCTGGCCACGCCCTCTTCCTCCAGGCCCTCTCGCAATTGGTACGTCGTTACCTGCCACGCCCCCCTCAGAGATCTGGCACGTCCCTTCAACGCACCTGACATACAAGCCCCGCCCCCTGGGCTCAGCTACAGGCAGCTCTGCAGAAGCACGAGGGCTCCAAAAGCTCCCCCCGCCTACCCAGCTGGCCGCAGTGCTCCACGCCGCAATGCTGCCCTATCGCCAGCTCCGCCATCTGCGACAACGGCCGAGGGCTGCTCTGTTAGTCGCTGCGCGGGGTTCGCTGGGATACAGGAGGACTCCTTTCCGCGGCAGTCAGAGGGGGCGGAGTTACCGTCCTTGAGTATACGTCATCGCTCCCCCCAGCGATTGGCCGGAGAGAGCTGGTCACTGGGCGGGGCCTAGAGGCGCTAGTTGCCTCGTCTAGTTTTATCCAGTGTGCGGAATTGTTTGTAGTTGGTATGAGCAGAGGGGTGTGGGGTGGGAGGAATGGGGTTGGTGGGGAGAGTTTGCTTGGGAGGCAAGCGGGGAACGACTACGTTTGTGTGGGAGGCTGTTGCTGTTTCGTATTGCGTGGGTGTTTTCAGAGAACAATCCGTGGCGATGCCAACAACTCTTCCTCCAGTAGTAACAGTTAATGCTTTACAAACATCAATTAGGTAAATGTCATTCCTCTGTATTATAAATTGCCATTTGAAACTGAGGGAACTGACGAATAGAAAGATAAGGGGTGCAGTTGTGCTACAGTTATTTGTTTGTAATAGGAATGTTAAATTTAGCGTAACCAAATAATCTACTAGTCTATGGAAGTGGGAAACTGCAATGGGGTTAGCTCCTGCCTAGATCAAACCTAGCTGTGGCTCTGCCTTTTAAATGGATTAGAGGGAACTGACGAATAGAAAGATAAGGGGTGCAGTTGTGCTACAGTTATTTGTTTGTAATAGGAATGTTAAATTTAGTGTAACCACTAATCGACTAGTCTATGGAAGTGGGAAACTGCAACGGGGTTAGCTCCTGCCTAGATCAAACCTAGCTGTGGCTCTGCCTTTTAAATGGATTACGAGCCTGTCCACTTCTAAGCTATTTAAAAGGCTGAAGCACACCAGGGCTGTGTCTAGACTGGCAAGTTTTTCCGCCAAAGCAGCTGCTTTTGCAGAAAAACTTGCCAGCTATCTACACTGGCCGCTTGAATTTCCGCAAGAACTCTGACTTCCTAGTGTCTGAAATCAGTGCTTCTTGCAGAAATACTATGCTGCTCCCATTCGGGCAAAAGTCCTTTTTGCGCAAAAGGGCCAGTGTGATACAGCTTAGATTTGTTTTGTGCAAAAAAAGCCCCGATCGCGAAAATGGCTTGCTCAAAAAAGCCCCAATCACGAAAATGGTGATCGGGGCTTCTTTGCGCAAAAGCGTGTCTAGATTGGCACGGACGCTTTTCTGCAAAAAGTGCTTTTGCAGAAAAGCGTCCATGCCAATCTAGATGCTCTTTTCCGCAAATGCTTTTAACAGAAAACTTTTCCGTTAAAAGCAGTTGCGGAAAATCATACCAGTCTAGACGTAGCCCAGGAGAAACCCAGTCAGGTTCCCTCCTCAGCTGGCACCTGGCACTTTGCTGGCAATTGAAGCCCTAGGCCCCAGAACTCAACCTCCCCACTGGGCTAAAGCCTGCTCTGTCAAATGCCTGTTCTCCCTTGTGATTTACATCTTTTTATAACTTCAGTGTCCAAAGTACTTTTGTATCAGTTGTGTCTTGTTCAGCACTCTGCACTTCTCCAGTCCCATGTATGTGCATAGGCTGTGCTCCCCCAAGATATATGCATATATGTATTGTCCTCCTGGCATCTCCAGGAATTAAAATGAATCTTTAATTAAGGATGATGTCATATGATGAAACCTCCAGGACTACAGTCAGCCAACCTTAGCAACTGTAATGTACTTTCTGCCCAAGGCCCCTCTGCCCTGCCACCTATTATTCCTCCTCCCCCTGAGCCTTATCGTCTACTCCCCTCCTCCGCTCTCCTCCAGGCCCCCTTTTCGCACTGAGCTCCCATTGTGGGGCGCCAGATGCCCTTTGTCACCGCTCGGGCGCGGCAATGAGGACGGGGGTAGAGCGCGCCCCCAACAGCAGCTTGAGGCAGGGGCCGCTGTCCGGCCCTGGCCTGGGGCAGGGCTATCGCCGTCCGCAGCCCCGCTCCTGCGCTGTAGGAGCCCGCGACGCATGCGCAGGACGGG